AATGGATGCACGACTACGAAGCTATGATAAAGTATCTACTAGAACATGTCAAGCAGTACTACAAACGATCTGATGGACATGATCTTCTGGATAGAAGAATGGCAGCTATCCATCAACGACCACAAGAGACTGTATTTTCTGTTTTACAACGCATACAGTCTATTGCTTCACAAGCTAGCACATGTGGATTGGCATATACTAATGCTCAACTTCGCTCCTACTTCGTCAATGCTCTACACGACAAGCTCAGAACTGTTGCTAAAACTACTTATCCACATATCCAAGATCCTATTACTATGGCTCAACATCTGGATATGTTTCTGAATGAGCAAGATAACCCATCACAATATCTATCCCCTACTCCACATCGACAACAACAACCACAACGAGATTCACTTCAATCTCCTACTACACCTACTCGTCCAGTATCGACTAAGAAGCCAACAGTTCCACCAGATGTCTACAAGAAACTATTGGGAAAAGGGGTATGTCTCCGTTACTACCAAAATAACACATGTCGTTTCGGAGATTCTTGCTACTATAAACATCTAAAGCATGACGATGAGCTCCTGCAAAACATCATTACTGATTCTACTACGCCACAACCAGATGAGAAATTGAAGAGCACTGCTCAACGTTGTGTGACGACAACTAATCATGTCCCTCTAGCACGTGACGTTGGCCTTATTCCAAATCAAGAAAGCAATAAACGACTTCGTCTCATTTGTCCGACCTTCCCACAATGGACTATTATTCTAGATACTGGTTGTACAGATACTCTCATCAGCAAGGAGTTTGCTAACACACTCCTCAAGACTCTACCTGATGTTATTATCACTAATCATTATGCCTCCTTTCAAACTGTATGTGAAGGAGACGAAATCTCATCACATCATAAATTGTCTACTCAACTACCTATATGTGATATTGAAGGATGTGAATACTACTTGGACATTAATCCATTCATCATCCCGACTATTGCTGAAGCAGACATGCTCATTGGTATGGACCTCATAACTATGATTGGATCCACACTCAACCTAATAGGATTCGCCGACGACTTACAGCATCCTATCACTTCATTCTTCACTTGTGGTGACTCACACAACCAATATATCCAACCTACTACTAAAACTATTGATATTGATTCTACTGGTAAACTTGATGGACCTATCAACTACCCTGAAGTATCATCAGGTCATGTGGTTATTGACACCGTTCTAACCTCACCTTGGTTGGAGATTACTGTTCGTAAAAATGATGATGGCAACGACGACTCCCCTAAATGGTTTCACATTGACCTCAGCAATCAAGCAGCATTATGGGCTTTCGAACAGCAATTTCGACGCGTGCCAGAGTACCACTGGCGTATGAAGATGACGACGACAGAAGGCTTAGAACAAGTTCAACAAAAGCTTAGAGGGCTTCATCAACACCGATATGATGGAAGCTGTGGATAACGGGGGAGTACGAAGCACTCTTTTGGCACAACTATCCTGTCCCCCTGGTCAGACCAGGCTGGTCTATGTGACGCTATGAACCAGAGTGAGTACGTCATGACTGAGTACATCAAGCTAGAATCTAAGATGTGAAGTCATTCTTTCTTTGTCTACTACACTTTATTAATGTATTGGTTGTAGGCACGGTTTGTTTCCACCAATTCTTTTAACCTTCCCACGGGGGAGGCTGGTAACGGCTAGCCCAAAGAGGCATTGTAGCTGAGCTACCAAAGTCACCAGCTCGTTGCCTTGAAGGTAATGCCTTCAGATGCTAGTGCACTGCCAGGCGCGGTCTCACCCAACTCCCTCGTAGAAGGACACCACTCAACTGAGTGACTGAAAACTCAACCCTGCTCTAAACTAAGTGACTGTTGTGTTTACTACGCCAGGCGAACGGTGCGAGAATTTTACTACCTTGATACTCTATGATCAACTTTTCGAGCTACTCTTGTAGTATGACCAGGGGTATTACAGTAATGCCCCTGGTCATATTACATTACGGTGAGGCTCCTACCCCAGAGGTAACACTATTACCTCTAGAGTAGGAGCACTGCCGATACACGGTGTATCATACACCGGCACATCAGTGGCTATTCGAAATACTCGTATAAGTACTTCAACTTCCCCACCACGTTCCTGCTTTTACGACAATCTCCTCACAAGCTCGCCAGAAACGCTGCAACAGACTAACAAATACAAGAAAATTTATGA